ACAAATAGGCGCAGGGTTTGCATAAAAATGGGGAGAAACAGGTGGGGAAGCGTCACGGGGGGTGTTCCACAGGGGTCAGTGTTGGGCCCCTGCTGTTCACAATTACAAAAACGAATAGATGGGGGCATAAAGGGAATCGGAAGTTTGCCGATGACCCCAAAAAATAGGCCGTCGAATTCATTCTGACGAGGACATTGAGCACTCCAGGAAGTTTTGAATAGATGATGCAGTGGTCGGAGAAGTGGCAGATGCAGTTTAATATAGAAAAATGCAAAGTTCAAATGTTTGGAAGGACAATAACCAGCACATATAAAATAAAAAATGTAGATTTTTAATTATTAGGATTGCGAAAAAGATTTAGGAGTTTGGGTTTTTGCAGTAATCTAAAACCAAGAAAACAGTGATAAGTGTTCGCAAAAAAAGCTTAGAATCCTTGGCTTCTAAAAGAAGCATAAATAATAGGAGCCCTCGGTTGTTTTCAACTTTCATCCTTGGTTGGGCCCTCTTTAGATTATGCTGCACATTTTTTCGTCCCGTATTACAGAATGGATATAAAATTCTCTGGAAAATTTTACAAAGGAGGATGACAAAGTGTCCCTGTATCAGAACCTTCCCTATGAGGATGACAAAGGGGGCCCTGAAACCCCCTGCATCTCTAAAAAGACGTAGAATTAGGGGGGTAGATTGAGGTTTATAAGTGGAAGACAGGAATAAAAAAAGGGGATGTAAATAGTGTGCGTAATATCTGCTAGACGGGACTGCAGAAAGGGTTTTTAAAGTTGGAAAAATTCAGATTCGGGGAGGGATATGGGAAAGTACTGGTTTTGGTAATAGAGTTGTGGAGATGGAACAAACTCCCAAGTCCCGTTATAGGGCCAGAAACGTTGGTAGCTTTAAAAATAGGTTGGTTTAAAATACATGAGTAGAGTGGGTGGGGTGTGGGGTTGCCCTGATAGTTGTGCAAGGGGTCGGTTCCCGGTTCCCCCCTTGGTAAATGTGATGACCTGACTAGGTTGGTGCATTGGCTTAAGCCGGTAGGGACTTGGACCTGCCCGCTGGGCCAGTGGGCCCTTTGCAGGTTCCTTCGTTCTTATTTTCTTTTGTTCTTATTAAATACCATTCCCTCAATCATGCCTTCCACTCCGTCACACTCAATTACAAGCACCAAAAAATGAATTATGTGAAATTTTTGGAAGAGCGGGGGACTAATGTTCACCCCAGCTAAACAAAGCCACACGCGTGTGTCACCACTCCCTTGTATTTTTGTACAATTTTTCTTCAATTATATCATTTATTATTATTTATTATTACTATTGTTTTATTAGCTGTAGCAGAAATTTTTAAATTCTTTGCGTGTCAAGAGTAAAAATGAGCACGCTAATACCGGCCCCCCAATAGCCATTCCAATTGCAGTCAAAAGGGGGTTTTGATTATTTATACTTATTTTAAATAGCAAATAATGAACAAACAAAACACTCCCCACACTGAGTGGGGGGAGGGTGGCTGCCAGTTGCGGGGTGGGGAGGGAGGGTGTGGGGCTGCAGGTGGGGGGGAAACTTTTAAATATGTTTTTGGCGGCTGGGAATTTGGTGGCGGGGAAATTTTGGCGGTTGGGAATTTCGCGAATGTGTGAGCCCTGAAAGTTGAAAATGTGAATTTTGAGGGAGCCTGTATAGGGGTCCCAAACACTCTTATATGGGTTGAAGTTTGGGTTTGAAAAATGCTGCAACGAGGAGGCGGTG